CGCTCGCCGCCGCCCGCCCTCGGCCGCCCTCCGCTCCGCTCCGCCCCGCGCCGGGAAGGAGGAGGAGGAGGAGCCAGGGCGCGCCCGGCCGCCTGCTTGGAGCCTCCCCCGGGCCAGGCCGGCGCGGGTAGGAAGCGGTGTCCCCTCTAAGCTGAGTTCGTGTGAGCCAGCTCGAGGTTTTTTAGCCTCCGGCTCACACCTTTTCGCCTTCGCTCAGGAAGGGATGGGGCTCCAGAGCAAACTGATTTCTGCAGCAGCCCAAGCGCTCGCTCACGACTTTAAGGCCAGCGGCTCACAAAGTAGATCTTTTTGCTCACAGGGCTCCACAGCTTAGAGGGAACATTGGAAGGTGGGCGCTCTGCACATGCTGGGGGGGGGGGCAGGAAGGGGGACGCGGTACAGACGGGGGCAGGTTCGCCACGCAGCAGACTGAGCACGTGCTTAGGGCACCAGGGCCCAAGAGGGCGCCACCAAGTTGGGAGCAGGGTGAAAAGCTTCGTTTGTGCAGTCTATGGTGTTATCGTGCGAATCAGTTTTTGCATTGCTGCAACCTGCATCGTCTATCTGGCCAGACAGGTCAACCACTGAAATGGACTGGGGGTCAGTGTGGGAAGGAGGGGGGGGGCACCAAGATGGGTCGGTGCTTAGCAATGTTTCCTCTAAGCCAGTGAGTGCCCAAACTGTGACCCAAAACCCACTTTATTGCAAAGTGCCAACACGGCAATTTAACCTGAATACTGAGGTTTTACTAGAAAAAAAAACAACCGATACATTAACTTAAGATGATCCAAACAAAGTAAGGGAAGCAATCCCAAATTCTTTCATTTACTTCAAATTATTCAGCAGAGAATTCGACACTTTAATGATGGTCTGGCCCTGGCTGGGGCGATGGCATGCGTGCCCACAGAGAGGGCTCTGAGTGTCACTTCTGGCACCCGTGCCATAGGTTCGCCACCAGTGCTCTAAACTGTGGGATCTTGTGAGCAAAAATTCTACTTTGTGAGCGACTGGCATTAAAGTGGTGAGCGAGCCATTTGGCTACTGCATAAAGTAGTTTGCTCTGGAGCCCTCCTTCCTGAGCAAAGACAAAAATCTATGCGCTGGAGGCTAAAAAACTGTGAGCTAGCTCACACTCACTCACCTTAGAGGAAACACTGGTGCTTAGGGCACCAGTGAGCCCTAATCCGCCCCTGGGTGTAGAGCAGCAGTGGGTCCAGGATCTGGGCGGGCGGCGCCTTTCCCTTGTGTCAGGCAGTAAATTCTTCGCACTTGCAACCAGTGTTCCCTCTAAGCTGAGTGATTGCGAGCTGGCTCACAGTTTTTTTAGCCTCCGGCACACACATTTGTGTCTCAACTGGGGATGGAGGGCACGAGAGCAAACTGATTCGTGCAGGAGCCAAATCGCTCGCCCACAACTTCAGTGCCAGCAGCTCACAAAGTGGAATTGTCGCTCACGAGACTCCCAGCGGCTTAGAGGGAGCGTTGCTTGCGACTGTGGCCGCAGGCGCCAACGCAGAGGAGGCCTTGCGCCGCCCTGGCTCTGCCGCGTAGGGATGCCAAGTCAGGGTTGGGAAATCCCTGGAGATTTTGGGGGTGGAGCCCGATGAGAGCGGGGTTTGGGGAGGGGAGGGACTTTCAGCAGAACAGAAGGCCATACAGTCTACCCTCCAAGCAGGGGCGGAGTAAGGCTCCCTGGTGCCCTAAGCACTGACCAGTCTTGGTACCCCCCCCTCCTTCCCACACTGACCATTTCAGTGGTTGACCTGTCTGACCAGATAGACAATGCAGGTTGCAGCAATAAAAAATTTTATTCATAGGATACTGTACAATATACTGTACAAACTAAGCCAAGCTTGGGCGACGTAAAGTTCTTTTCACCCTGTTCCCAACTTTGCGGTGCTCCCTTTGGCCCCGGCGCCCTAAGCACATGCTCAGTCTGCTGCATGGTGAATCCGCCCCTGCCTCCAAAGTAGCCGTTTTCTCCAGGGGGGACAGATCCTGTTCGTCTGGAGAGCTCCAGGGGCTACCTGGAGGTCGGCAACGCTACTCCCGCCACACCCGGAGATTGCAGCTGGTAGCGCCTGCAGGTGCCCTGGGACGTCAGCACGGGCAAGGGTGTAGGAGAGCAGTGCAGACATCTGCGTGGCAAACCCGAATGAATTGACTGTTCTCCTGGCTAGAGGTTGGGAACCCAGGTTTCAGGCTAATTGCACAAGGCAGAAACATCTGCTGATGTGCTGAGTTCATCGTGAGAAGCTACCTTGGCAGAGGGACAAGAGATAAGGAGCTGTGAGCTTTCGGGATCAACACTTTCCACAATGATTGTATGCCTATAACTTTCCCTTACGCAGGGAGAAGAAGGGGAGGGGGAAAGGAGGAGACAGATTTTCAATAAATATAGCTGGTGAGTGAGAGGATTCATTCATTCATTCAGTCAGTCAGTCAGTCAGTCAGCTTTCTGCAGAAGCTGTTTGTGTCGTGTCTTCTTTGAACCCCGACAAACTACACAAGGGGGCTCGGCCCACCCCTGACGCAGCGACAGTTTCTCTGGGGGAGGGGCAGGATTTGGCCCCCTCCCACGACTGAAAGTGACCCCGCCACCGGGTCTGGATCTCTTCGTAGAGTTGCCAGCCCTGGGTTTGGAAACACCTGAAGACTTGAAGGATAAAGCCTGGGAGAGGGTTTTTTTGGGGGGAGGGGTGGGGCCTTGGTAGGGGATGATGCCATCTAGTCCACCTTCCGGGGCAGCCCCTCTGTCCAGGAGAAGTGGTTTTTTTTTTTTAATTAAATTAAAAAAAACAGTTAAAAATAAGAAAGTAGATCCTGATGTTTATGTAGAGCAAACAGGGAGGTGTCAATTTGATGTGCTGCTGACGCTTCTAAGAGGGGGCATCCATTTTTCTTGGAGATTGTCAGGAACGGGTTGATTTTCAGATCGAAGGATACTAGTGAAAACTTTGTCTTGTAGAAAAAAGTCCCACAATTTCAGATACCAATCGCTCAGTTGTAACGTCGTCTTAGATTTCCAGTGAAATGCAACATCAGGTGGTTCTGTTCCGCCCCCCCCCAAGAGGCTTTTAGAACTGTAGCAAAGAAGGAAGGGAGGGAAGGCTATCCTGCCCCCCCAATTCAAGAGCTGCTGCCACCCAGGTGGCCCAGTGCCAGCGGCCATGATCCCCCCCCCGGCACACCCCAGCCAGGTGTGCGTTTGATCTCCACTGCAGTGCCCGGAAGAGTTCGGCCGTTCCCCATCATTCAGGCCCTGTGCTGCAAAAACATAAAAGCCCAGCAAGCATGCCTTTGTCTTTCAAGCCGTCCTTTTATTCCAATGCAGGTGTATAAAGAAGGAATTGGTTAATTAAGATCCATGCAATTATTGACTGCATGATGGCCCTCGCGGCAGCTGTCCTGACGAGTAAAAACAAACACATGTAGAAGAGGCCCAAGAGAGACTGGCGACTCTAGCCTGGGAAGCTCCTGGAGATTCAGGGGTGGCAGTGCCAGGGAACGGTGGAGTTTGGGGAGGGAGGGGGCTCATCTGGAATGCGGTGTCATTCTAGGACTTCAGTTTCTCCTAGACCAGGGGTGGCCAAACTGTGCCTCGGGAGCCACATGTGGCCCTTTCATACATATTGTGTGCAGTGTCCCCTCTAAGATGACTTAATGTGAGCCAGCTCACAGTTTTTTTAGCCTCCGGCTCTCACATTTTTGTTTTCGCTCAGGAAGGGTGGCTCCAGAGGAAACGAATGTATGCAGTCAGGGGTCATTTTGTAGAAAAAGAGGTGCAGGAGCTCATTAGCACAACTCATTTGCATATGCCACACCCCCTGACCTCACTGGACGTGTGTCAGAAGGCAACACCCACCGCTCAGGCTCCACTGGACTGTTTTGGATTGCTAGCTAT